CATGTACTGTACCAGTGTACCTGCACATGTGATGTGACAATAAAAGTGATTTGATTTGATTTAAAGATGGTTCTTCAAGCTACTGAATCATGATTAGTGCTCACAGACAGAATCCTGTGAAAACGTATCAACTTATCTCCTATGACAGCAGCTCTCAGCTCTCTAATACAGAGGAACGTATCATCAGGGTAACATTCATTCAAGTCTCTGAAGATTTTTAATGCAGCAGCAGAATAACCGCAGAACTTCCACCAAAAAGTAACACGTGACCGAGGTGTAAAGTTTAAAAGGAGCAAAATAAAGATCGTATCTTAAATCAACTCCCTTCCTCCAAACCTTACCAGCAAGATGCTCTCCCAGGCCATCCATCGTATGGGCAGCACCGCCCGGCCCTGGATACGGTAGTAGTCGCTGCTGTACAGGTTTCGGCTCATACCGAAGTCGGCAATCTTGATGGTGAGGCGGCGGTCCAGCAGGCAGTTTCTTGTGGCCAGGTCACGGTGCACAAAGTTCAGAGATGCCAAGTACTTCATCCCCGACGAGATCTGCACCGCCATATGGAGGAGGTCAGACAGGCTGAAGTGGAGAAGCAGAAAGCGATTCGAAGTGGTGAGAATCAAAAGTGCACTAACAAGATCGTTTAGAAACCTGACGGTCGATTGTTTTCATGTATGACCTGTGCGAACTGTGTGCATGGATAACCTGACTGAAGGGATGTTGTTGGCATGTGTTAGAGTGCTCTCGATCTCCCGCTGCGACAGGAACATGTTGAGGTCTCCGTTCTCCATGTACTCAGTAACCATGCACAGCGGGTCGGACGACACACACACACACAGCAGTCGGATGATGTTGGGGTCATTCAGACGAGACATAATCTTTATTTCCTTCAGGAAGTCGTTCCTGATCGACGGACAGATAAAGGAGAGGAAGCATTTTCAGATCTGTTTACAGGTATCTATTTCTCAGTGTTACAGTGAAGCCTGATGCACAGATCTTATTTGTTCCTGCACATCCCTTGAAGCTCTTACACCAGTTTATCCTAATATATTCTCATCTACGGAGTCAAGAACTGCTCTCACTTCAAATAACAGTCTTGTAAAGACAAACATGGTAGGAGGGCTTTCTCTGCAAAAATTAGTCAACCAGGAAATGCCGTTTGGAGCTTTCGGTCCTGCATGTTATTCATTTGACTAGTTATGGATTATATTTTTGTTTTTAGTGTATAAATAGTGAAAAATTATCATCATATGAACACATTAAAGCAATGAATACACTGATTTTAACCAATATATGCTCTCCAGGGGATGAACCTTTAACCACCTCAGCTCCAAATTTATATAGTTTGACATTGTTGCGATTCATATACACACTCATAAAGAGTACCTGGCTTGGCTGGTAGCGTCGGCCCTCAGCTGTTTAACAGCCACAAGCACGGAGTGACCGTCTCGGTCAGGGAGGGGCGAGCCTTCCCCAAGAAATTCTGGGAGTCCCTCCGCCTCACACAGGTGGACCTGCCAGGGAAGAAGATGAAATAGGGATGAAATAAGATTTTTCCAGGATAACTTTGCAGTAGGGATGCACCGATACCGATACTGGTAT